TAACTGTAGCCAGAAGGCAAGTCTACACATCTGGCAGCACAGGTTTCCAGAAAACAATCAAGAGGGTGCCTGCCTCTGGGATGGAAAGGAGACCTGAGGTACAGCTCTGAGTCCTCCCATATTTATTTCTGCTCACTTGATATGCACCTCTCCCTTGTCAACCTGGTACAACATGTTTATTTAAGAGATAATGTTGCCGTGGAGGAGTGCACAAGGCAATAAACAGCTTTTGCAGGCAATTAAATGCAGAAGCGAAATTGAGCTGCTGGTCAGCGGAACCAGCCATTCATCCTGAGTTTGTTCCAGTGTCACAAATGTTATTCCTGTTTCACAACAGGACAAGAATCTGTGATTGGGCCACAAATCTCTGCAGGCTGGGAGACAGACCAAAAGCGATTAAAGCAGCTCTCGGCAGCTCTCGGCAGCGTGCCTGACGCTCACAGAGAAGCACTCTGGGATTCTAGAGTGACGGCCCCAAGGATGCTCTCTCTTAGGTAAACAGATTTCACACTAGGTGGGTGTGGTTCTTCCAATTGATATCAAAATTCTTCTGATTTCATAGGAAAAGTTGCCAAGAAGTCACAACCCTACAATAAAGACAGTGGATTCTTTGTGCAAATAATCCCCTACCTTCCTTGCACTACAAAGTCTAGTTTTAAGAAATCTTCATCTCCATTAAAATCATTATTTTACAAGACTCAGTAAGGAACTCTAGGTTGAGAACTATACTTCTTCTCCAATGCATACTCAATACTCAAAGCAGCACGGGAAAGAGGATAATGTACAAAAGGAAGACTCCACCCAGCCAAGAGTTAAGAGGAAAGTAGCAAGAGGTGATTGTGAGAGAATGGAATTCCAGGCCTTGGACTGAGCCCAGGGCAACCTATGGCTCCAGGGGGAGTGGACCCTGTGGGTGCTCCCAGATGCAGCCGTGGAACACCGTCCTCAGTGAGGATGGAAACAGGGCAGCATCCACGGGAGAAACCCAGCCCTTACTCCCTGGGAAGCTACCACCAGGAGGGATTCAGCAAAGTCACGAAGTCATGGCACCTCTCAGAAAAATCAGCAAGGTGAGAAGGACTCTCGCATCCCAGATTCCTGTTCCTGACACTTCTGACAGCTACAGCGACGACTCTGATTACAAAGTGAGCCATCTAGTCCTATCCCTTCCACATTATCCAGAAGCATGATCTGTATATTTTTAACTGTCCAATACTGTACTTTTTTTTTTTTTTTTGGTGGAACCAGGGATTGAACTCAGGCCCTTGCACTTGCCAGGGAAGCGCGTATTCCAGGGAGCTATCTCCCCAGCCCTACAGTACTATTTTCTCAATACATCTTAATGAATATATTGTGTACCATTATCATGAACTTTACGCTGTGTGTTTTCTCTTTCCTAACTGGGTCAAATTCTTCACCAATAATAGAAAAGTTCATAGTTGGCCTTTATTCACATGTTATTGTCCCTTTTTTGAGACAGTATCACTAAGTTGACAGGAGCTTGGTGATCCTCTTGCCTCAGTCTCCCAAGTGGCTGGGTTACAGCTAAGTGCCACCATGATAGGCTTTTCAGTCCTTTAGTAATACTTAAAATGCATAACTGCATCTTATTTTGCTATGGGGGGACCTGATATAGCTGATTAAAAGGCATTTAAACAAATAGCAAAGAATTAAATTGATTTATAGAAAGCAAGACCAAGTGGAAATACTGAAAAGTGGAATAAATTCACTGTAGTTAGGATCAGCCCAGCTGTCTGTGGCTTATACAGAAATTCACATAGGCTGATCATGGCACTTTAGCTCCCACAGTGCCTCAGTAGTCCTTGAAACCAGCCTATACCTCGCTTACAAAAAAGAAAGTTGAGATTTAGAGGATAAAATATTTAGCTAAAGATTTCACAGCTAAATTGTAAGCTAGAACTAAGTATGGAGGGCCAGCCAGATAGCTCAGCAGACTAAAGCGCCTGCTTAGGCAGGCTCCAGGACCAGAGTTCAATCCCTGGCCTGCTGTGCCAGCCCCGCCCCCAGGGCACAGTGAGACTGGACACAATGAAGTGAGCCTGTAATCCCAGCACTTGGGAGGCTGAAAACATTATACACTTTGTGTGTGTGTGTGTGTGTGTGTGTGTGGTACCAGGGATTGAACTCAGGACCTTGTGCTTGCCAGGCAGGCACTTATTTTACTGAGCTATCTCTCTGGCCCCTGGAGGGAGGCTGAAAATAGGAGGATCACTATTAGTCTGATCTGTGTAGTGAGACCCTGTAGACTCTATACTAAATATAAATAATAATTTAAAATACAATAAAGAGCTAAACAAGGTTCTAAGTGTTCCTAATGGACTGATCTCACAGTGAAGGGTCACCTGCAGAGCTGAGGGATAAAGTGCACATCCTGAACACTCTCCTGGGCTCTCAGCTCACAGAGGGCACCTAAAAGGCAGTTTCCATAGCTTTGATTTGTTTTTTGAAGACCCAGTGTTAAGGAGGCAGTGCTGACACACCCTTCAGGGTCAGGCAGGCATGGATTCAAACTCGGGCTCTTCTACTGATCACTCTACAACTCTGGGTAAGTCAGCCCTCTAAACATCAACAGCCTCATCTGTAAGAAAAAAAAAAAACAACCAACACCACTTGTCTCTTAGGTAGGACTAACTGCTCAATGAATGACAGATCTTATCACTGATATTATTGACTATGCAGAATGACTGTCCACCACAGTAAGACGGCAGGACCTACTACTGCAAAAGAACTTGTTATATGAGACAGCGCCACTGCCTAGGGAATATTACACCTAGATTCCAGGAAAGCAAAAATACATGGAATGATGCCTCATTGTCGCTGCTGGGCTCTTTCCAGTGGGTTCTCTCCAGCTCTGTATGTTCCTGAGAAGGGGCTAAGCATCAAAACTGCAGGTTCCACACCCTAGTTCCAAAGCCAAGATTGCTCCTCCCGCCCTGCGCTTCTCTCAGTAGATGTGCATTCAAGGGCTTGAGCTGTCTAGCACCAGGCAACAGTGCTGCTCAGAGCCTGTCTTTCCAGCCTGTCTCAGTTGGGAGGTAGATAACAGATCTTGGAAAGGGACAACCAAGAGAATCTAAAATGTTAAGAATGACTGTTAAGCACCGTCTGCCATATGAAAGGTTTTGACAAGGAAAGAACAGTTAGTTTATGAGACTTCTGACTCTGCTGAAGAATTCATTTTGAGAGGACTTCTTTTCAGAGAAATATTAAGACTTTCCTTTCTCAACCTTTATCATCTAATCCAACAAGCTTGCAAGCAGACCCTTCCCCTAACTTACTCTCAAAGCTCGGAAGCAGACAGAAAACTAGGACCCTCCACTAGCAGTCTCTCCTTCCCAGAATCTGCAGGATGCGCTCTTGTACTACCATTATCTTTTAGACATTTCTTTTTCCTTCTAGAAGGCTTTCTAGTGAAAATCAACCTAAAGCCTTCCCCAAGCCATGAAATGCAACTGCATTTGGAAAGGCCCAACGGGGTCTACCTTAAGCTTCCATTAATCACCAAATTTCCTTTACACTTACATTAACTCTCAATTGTAAAACCACTGAATCTGCTTAAAACCCCCTTCGAAAGTATAAGATCCCAAGACCCAGACAGAAACCTGAGGGAAGTTTGTGCCTCAGGGGGTTAATCCCCAGGACAGTAAAGTGAAACAGAACTGCCCAGAAGAGAAGTTCAACTCAAATTCTTCTCAAGTGGGCATAAGAAGGTAAGGACTCCTAAAAAAAATTTTTTTTAAACTCACAGAAGTGGAAGTAGAACAGTGATTGCCAGGGGTTGGGGTGAGGAGAATGAGGAGCTATTAGTCAAAAGTTAAAAACTTACAGTTGTAAGATGAATAAATTCTGAAAATAATGCCTGGTATTGGGGCTATGGTTAAAATACTGTATATTTTTAAAATGCCAAGAGACCAGGTCTCAAGCAAGCTGATGGATCTGTTCATTAACTTCATCTCGACTGCCCTGCATGATACATTTACACATCAGATAAGCATGTTAGACAACTTAAAATACATACATTTTTATGTGACAATTATGCTTTAGTAGAGCTGGGAAAACCAAGAAGGAAGTCAAAGACTTGTGCTAACCTTGTGCCAAAATCAAATCCCAGCTGAGAAGAGCACGGTAACTGCACCCAAAATGACAACAGCCTGCTCAGGATCAGAACATCTCAGCTGGGCAGTGCTGGCAGCAGCTGTCTGACCTCACCCACACGAGGGTGCCCAGCGCATGCACAAGCACATGCCACATACACGGCATCTACCTTGGGAATGTTGTTGGGACCCTGACTCTACCGCTAATACACTCGTGGGGTGCAAATGGTGACACCCTAGAAAGCATAACAGAGTTAGATGAGCTCTCTTCCTGAGAAAGCAAAATGCTTTATTTTACTCCAAATATTAAAAACTCTTGTTTGCACACTATTTCAAAAAAAAAAAGTATGAAAGACGAGCCCCCGTTCCTAGCAAAGCACACCCCAAGTCTGTGCAGCATAACCACGTCCTAATTCTCTCTCTCTCCTCTATACAAACACACAGACTGCGACACTTTGCTCTCCTAGGATGCAAATTTATGAGGGAGCTTACTGTCACAGAGAAGGCTGCACCTGCATTTCTAAGCTGCTCGAGGCCAGAGGAGGGGGCCTCAGTCAGAAATCTGCTTGTGCCTGTTAACTCTGGCCAGCTGGGTATTTATGCAAAAGGACAAAGTGAGAAAATAAGACTTAAAAATTAACCTTCATACATACACGTTTCTTTACAGTTCCTTGCAGCCACCTCTCAGATTAAGTGGTACCATTAGCAGAGAAAAAGTCTTTACATAGTTTGTACACTGCACTTATGTGTACTGAACTGGGCATGCACATGGTACATGTGGGCAAACATGTGTCTCTGTAGATATGTGTGTTTATGCACATGCCTGTATGTGTTGCTTACGTGTGTTTGCCCCATAGTCGGTTAACTCTCTGGGTAGTATCGTACCTGCCACTGGTTTCCTGCCTGGCCAGGCACATATGGTGCTGGAAGGCTCCGAAGGCTGTTCTTCACAGGGGATCCCCCAACGGAGCTTCCCATGTCCCCAGCAGAGGAGTCAGCAGCCAAGGCCATGGAGTACTGCGGGTAGTTGTACAGATTGTTGTAGTACGGGAACAGCGGCGGCTGGTAAAAGCTGCTGTAGTAGGTGGAATCTGCAACCAGGTCAGGCGCGTTCTCCACGTGCCCTCTGCTGGCTGCAACAGGCACATCCGGGATGATCATGCGACCCTCTAGACAGGAAAACAGAAAAAGCAGCAACACAGTATTAAGGTGGGGATCACAAACCTTTACCTCTAAACCTTGGCAACGCATCACATTCCTTCTCAGATCCGTAGAGCAAACTATTAGGCAGAGGGCAGAGCCAGCGGCTGCTTCTACAAGCGAAATACAAGAAGTTTCTGAGGCTGGGATCACTTTGGTGGCAGAGCTGAAAGACCTTTGCTGTGTATTTGTCACTAAGAATACCAAAACATTTGGAGATAGTTTTAATCGCATAAATGCTGACAGTATAACTTGAAGCCAGAAGTTCCCACTCTAATCTCAAGGAACTAGCTATCAACATTAGTATGTCCTCTGGTCCATGTTTATAACAAAATTAATTGTTTAATTTAAATAAAGTAAATAAATACCCCAGCATCTTAACTATGGTAGCCAAGTAGATATGTCAGAAAGTCAAAGCAAGAGGCCAGCAGTTATTTAAGCATATGCTTTCTTAACTCCTTTCCATGGGTGAGCGTGTTCTTTAAAAATCTGGGCAATAGTATGGACCAAAGTTTGACAAAGGTACTAAAGGGCAGTGAGTAACTACTGGGGGTTTTGTGGAGGATCAGTCAAAGTTGGCCAAGTTACACTACAACAAAACTTTATTCATGGGTCAGGGAGATAGCTTAGCAGTGTAAGCTCCTGCCTGGAAGCACAAGGCCAAGAGTTCAATCCTAGGCACTGAAAATAAAAATAAAAATAAAAATAAACCTTTATTCACATAAATGGGATGTGAGCTGATGTGGCTCACAGACTATAGTCTGCCAAAATATGGCACAGACTTTAAACATTTTTGTCAAAATAAATTACAAATTCCTTGCACATCCAGTCAAGAGACGTGTTAAGCAAAGGTGCAAGACCTGAGAGTGGAATGGCTGCCCACAGGGAGCCTACAGTCTAGAACTAAAAACACAACAGGATTACAGGTTCCCCCACCACCCAGAATTACAGAAATGTCCATTAATGGTTACAGAAATTCAGAGGAAAAGAACGAGAGGACTCATGGGAAAAAAAACTGCACTTGCGCTGCTCCTTAAAAGAACAGGAAGCTAATGCAAAAAATAAAAAGAGCAAAGAAAGATGGTGAAGGAAGGACAGGAAATGAATGAGGCATGACAAGCATGGCAGTCAGATGGATGCATCGGGTGAGAACACGCACAGCTCCTGCCTCGAATGTTTCCTGGAGCCTGCCCTGCTAGGGAAGTCTTCATCCAGCTCTCGGACTCTGTAGGAGAAGGAGGAACCGCAGAGGATTTCTATACAAGAAAATAAAAACAAGAGAGCTTAGGTTTGGGAGGTTTACCAAACCCAGAGTCAGGGAAATCCAAGTAGTTAACGTGAAGTCCTCCGAAGACTGCAAATGTCCTGCGATGCCTGGACCCGGGACATGTGAGACTGACATCCAACAGAATGTCAGGGCCATCAGCAACAGACATGTGCAGGAGACGAGAACAAGAGCCTGGGTACACAGTGGGGCTGCTCTGGGTAACCTGACATGCAGAAGGGCACAGGGGAGGGGTGTGCCACTGTGGGCACCCTGAAATCTGCGCGTGGGAGATGCTGGGACCAGAAGATGCCAGCTCGTGATGGCTGTATGCGGGGAATGAAAGTGAGTAACAGAGGCAGAAGGGTAGGGAAGGACCTCTGCCAGGAAAAAAAAGATGGATTCAGGGGGGGCCAGCGGCAGTGTCAACTGCCATTAAGAGGTCGAGCAGGCTCGGTTCTAGAAGAAGCTGGTGGGTGATGAGGTCTTTAGAGACTTGTAGTTCAGCAAGGCAGAAGGAGTAGAAGCTGCTCGGTAGAGGGCTAGGAATCTGCAAGTAGCGAGGAAACGACTGAATTCGGGGAATGGCCTTCTCTGCCCCAAAGCAAGAAGGCTGCCCTTTGTGTCCCCTGTGCCTAGCACATGGCCAGGCAAAGTGGAAAGTGATCAAAGTGCCTAGCACATGGCCACGCGCGGGAGGTATCTAACTGTGTTAGAAACAGAAGCTCCATGAAGCCAAACAATCTTGCTATTCCATTTTTAAAACAGAGATGGATTAAGCATCCCTCAACAGGAAAAAGAGAAATTCGCAGCACTACAGATGCCCCAGATAAGGTGCTCAAAAGCAGCCCCTGGCTGAACGGAGAGAAGGAGAAAGAGAAAATGTGCAGGGGAGGCGTGAGCTCCGGAAGCTGCGTGTGAGCATGCCAAGGAAAACGTGCGCACGCTGGGCATGGTGGCACTGACCCCAGCACCCCAGGCCTGGGAAGCCAAGGGAGGAGGGCAGCGAACTGAACCCCCGCCTGGACAACTGACCGACCTACTGAGAAGCTGAGTCAAAATAAAAAATAATCCCAGCTCTTGGGAGAAATTCAGGTGGATCACTATGAGTTTGATCTAGTAGTGAAAGCCTGAACATCCTGTAGAACCTTCCCTAAAATACAAATCAATAAATAATAAGCAAAAGCTAGAGCAGGAGGATAAAAAGCTTGGAGTCTGGCCTGGGAAACTTAGTGACTTCACAAAACATTGTCTCAGAATAAAAAAAATAGAAAAAGGCTGGCAATGTAGCTCTGGGCAGAAGGCCCTGGGTTCAATCCCCAGCACTGTCCAAGGGGAACAAAAGTAAATTCTCACCTGAGAGTGAGCAGCAAATTGCTTTTGTCTAAAAGGTTTGTCTACTTATTTATTTAGGTGCTGGGGATCGAACTCATGGCCTGGCTCTTCCAGGCAAGAGGGTATGCCCTAAGCCCATCCCACTCGCCCAGGGCTTCTGTAACTGTGCAGCCAATCCCCGACGTCACTCCTTTCTTTTCTTCTCTTCCCACCCAGTGAGATGAGATGTCCCAGTTCATTAGTCCACAGCCCAAACTCCAGGTTCCACAGAGCACACGTCCACTTCTTTTTTATTTTATTTTATTTTATTTTATTTGTTTATGTGTGTGTGTGTGTGTATGTGTGTGTGTGGCCAGCTCAGCCCACCAGGGGGCGGGGCGGGCTGGCATGTGGTGCTGGGGGATTGAACCGCGGTCCCTGTGCTCTGCTAAGCTTGTTCTAAGTAGGTGCTTTAGACCACTGAGCCATCTCATCAGCCCCCACACGTTCACTTCTGCTCCTGAAATTTCCTACTTGTCCTTTCTCTTATTTAAGACACCAATTTCCTAACATTATCAGCAAGCTCTGAGATCAAATTCTTTTGCATTCATTGTCATATTTTTATTGTTTACTTAACTGCAAAAATAATATGAACTTCCCCAAATGGCAATGCTGGATATCTTAATCAGAAAAGGCATGACACAGCCCCACCAGCCAACCCAACCAAAGGCACTGGTGGTTCATTTTTATGCAATCTCAGACTCGGGGAGCATCTCAGATGCTTATTCTTGTGCCTGTAGAAGAAGAAAATGGAGCCCCCTTAGGGCTTGGCCTTCAGATACACCACTCTTCTGTACATCTAGATAAAAAAATGGTCCTTCATTTGTATCCCCCTTTTTTTGTTTAGTTTTGTTAGAGATGGGTATTCCATTGCCATTTAAATATTGTAGGTGCATGAATAATAATAATCCAACATAATCCAGTAGTCCATAATAGTAGTAGGTTAGGATAGATATACAGCTACTTTCTCTTAATTCCATGAGAAGAAAGATTTGTACTAATAGTATTTGGACAGGATATCATGTCTGCATCTTGTACTATGAATAACCACTATGAAGACAACAATATGCAATGTATTAATTATTGTAACTGTCCTACTAACTTGTTTTCAAACTGCCTCATTGCTATTTGTTTCTCAATAAAGTTAATAAAAAAATAAAGGTAGACAATAACCCATATTAATATGCTGAGCTGTAAATCCTGCATATAACCCACTATTATGGTCTACTGGACTATATTGGATTAATTTGCTGAATTTATGCAAATATTGCCTACAATATTTGAATGGCAATGAATACCCATCTCTGACAAAACTAAACAAAAAAGGGCGACATAAATAAAGGACCATTTTGTAGTGCAAAAAAAAAAATCTATATATACAAATTAGGTTAGATATACAGCTACTTTCTCTTAGTTCAATGAGAAGAAAAATTTACACTAACAGTGTTTAGACAGGATATCATGCCTACATCTTGTACTATGAATAACTACTATGAAGACAACAATATGCAATGTATTAATTATTGTAACTGTCCTATTGACCTGTTTTGAGACTGTCTCATTGCTATTTTTCTCAATGAAATTAATTTTAAAATAAAAATCACCACTCTTAATAAGAAAACAAGATACAGCAGGAGGCAAAACACGCAGCTGAAACCCAAGGACTGCAGCCCGCGAAGGTCAGCACACCGCTCCTGACTTTCTGCAGCACAACCTTCACCAAAAGCTTTCATCAGGCCTCAGTTTATCAAACAACAAAATAATGGCAGTAATAACTCTCAAGGTAACAAGAAAATGACTTCAATAACCTGCACAGTAAACCTCAAATGAAATGCTATGTGAGGTCAAAGCGATGATTTGTTTTGCTACAGCTGCCCGTAATTAGTTAACAACCCTGTCTACTTACACATATTTTATCTCCTCTTTCAAGTTATATTAAGCTTTAAAAAACAGGCTGAGATGTATGTTGTTGGGAAAGCTAAGTGCCACACCATGATTTAGATAATAAAAATGCAGCCAGGTGGGTGTGTGAGAGAAGAGGAGCACAAAAGCTTCTCTGAGAGTGAGGGTTTCTTCCCAAAGCACTGTCGATAAACCATCGACTCTAGTTCAGCTTGTTTTTGTGGGTGGGGACTCCAAGCCGGGCCCTTACACATGGTAAGCTGGCATTCCACCACTGACTTCCAGCTTTTACGTGCACACTACTAGAACATGGAAGTTTCCCAAGGTTAAAATCAACGTCCAAAATTTGTCTACTCCAGTGACTCAAGTCAATGGCATCAGTTATCACCCAGAAACTTGTAGAAATAAAAACTTGAGCACCACTCCAGG